AGGAATTTGCACAGTCTGTTGCTAAAGAAAATTATGTATTTATTTTCTTTTAAAAACGAACTGGAATACAACTTCAGGAAATATCTGTTCATGACATTTAGATACATAGCTCGAGACTGACTTATTTCCAAAGCGTTCCTTCACAGAGAGTTATATTCACATGCACCTTATATGCTTTCTACATTCTCCACCATATTACACCTCATCACAATACTTATAATAAAAAGGCTAACCTTTAGACATCGACATTTAGTATGAACATCTGCGATGTATAAGAAACCCTGAAGAGTAAGTTGATTGCACCGAGACAGATGTAGGCTGGTAAAATAATAAGGCACAATACTATGTACAGGGAACACGGGGTCGTCTTTGAGCGAGAGGGTTTACCGACCTCCTTAGCCCATCCGCAAGAGCTGGATTTGGATTAGAGTCACTGCGCCCTCCGAGTACAGGGACAACGTGCACCTCTCCAAGGCTGCTCTGATGACCCAAGGATTTTACGTGTTACAGCAGGAGTTAAAAAATTGTAAGGTATCCGTGGAGTTTTAGAACACACAAGGGAAGTACGAAGTGTATACATTTCCCCAAATCCTTATCGAATTAAAACAAAAAACCCTCCACCCCCCACCCCCCCAGGCGGTATCTGTGATAAACACTAAATATAAAAACATTACGTCCAGTTTTCAAAACTGCCAGGTACCCGCAGCCCCGAGTGCTCAACACCTGCACAAGCGGCAGGTTTTTCATTAAGGACAAGTCTGTCAGCGCAGTTTGGAGTCTCAGCTGGGTGCTGCAGATCTTCCCGTGCTATTTTGGCTCTCCGCTTCCACCACAGTATTAAACTTTGGCAGGCAGGGGATTTGTATCAATCATTTCAGCAGAGATCTCCGGGTGCAGAATCAGCCTTTTGCTTGTATGGCTAGGATTAGTAAGACATTGCTGAGATCATCACGTATACGTTTCACAGCCAAAACAGCTATTAGCGTTAAACAAGAACAAAAAAAAGAGCAGCTGTAGTCTGCAGTGAATGTCCCTTTAAAAAGGGCCCTAGGTTTATTTCGGAGGTAGTTTTAAAGAGGATGACCACTGCAAAGAACCTCTGCTGATAAATTGCTGCTTTAAAAGTTTTCAACTGCGTGAAAGTCCTAACAGGTCACAACGCTTGTAAACAATTTCAGATTGAGCAACACACTGGCTCTTCCACAAAAGTCACCTTAAAGCTTTCCAGTTAGGCTGTTCGGAACCCTCAGCTTACCGGACAACCAGAGCTCCTATTCAAGCTGGGTGGGAAGGACAGAAACCTCTAGTGAAGAGTATCTGCTGGACACAGAAGATCTCTAATCAGGTCACTGCTGCAAAACAAGCGTCACATTCAGCAGCTGGCACTGGTAAGATCCAACCTGTAAAGAACTAAAGGCAGCCTGGGTGGGTGTCTGTCCGGGGCACCATGGTCCGCAGGGAGGAATACTGCGCTGCTCCACTGAGTTCAAATAAAAACACGTTTTTCCTGCAACTCAGACAGGCAGATAACGCTTGGACCCCCGTGTAAAAGCAACGTCTATCTGTCAGGTGTGATGCTCGTGCCTGGTCATTCATTTGTATAAAAATATTGCTAACCCAAACAGGTAAAAATGGAGACAATAAACAGAGCATGTTATTTACAACACAGAGACTAACAGTGTGGCAAAACAGAGGGAACGTTACAAGGAACGTTTTAAAACAAGTTTAAGTGACTTTGACAAATGTGAGGTCTGTTCTGCTGTAAACCCCAGTAATCTGCGTTTGTTCTCTCCTAGAGGAACATGCCTGAAGCTCCAGTGGAACCTCGCTGGGGCCAGCAGATTAACAAACTTGCAAAGCAAAGGGTTACCCAAAAATAAAAGCTGTTTTGCTAATCTATTCAGACAAGTTTAGCTTTAGGCTACTTTTAACATTAAACCAGTACCACAACTAATGAGAACGATGGACTTCTGGCCATTTCACACCTCACTCGTGTTTAGCTTTCCACAGAACAAAGCGTGAATTTGGGATTCGACTGTATCGCAGGGAAGACGGCCCCGGTGACCGTGACCACCCTTTAGAAACGACCCGGCCCACGGAGGCGGCCCGTGGCCCACCCCGCCACACGTGGCTGCCAAGTCACGGGGAACTGGACAAGTCAAGCGCTCGCAGGGACGATTCCTCAGCTCTCTCCCAGATTTATGAGCTCGCGTGGAGGGCTCTCCCAGTTTGGGAATACTGTGTCACGCTATTCACTGAAAGCAAGCATTTTGTAAAGAAAATGGGGCTTAGTAATTGGAAACAAGACCAAAATATTCTCAGCTGTATTCCCCGGGTTATGAAAAAGTCCTTTTCAAGACAGTAAAAATCTGCTGAGGCTGCTTCCTTTTCCTTCCCACCTCCTGTGGCTATACGGACAAGAGACCCAAAATCAGCAAGGCAGTTAACTATGCACTTGATTTTAAAATATAGTAGGCCCACGTAAGATCCAGTCTTAAACATACACAACTCCTAACGGGCACCCTGTCCAGTCAGGTCACACTGAACACATTTGCTGGATAAAAAGCGATGTTCTTGCCAGCTAATCACTTTATCTGCCGTTTTACAGCACCAGCCTTAAGTGAGATTAGTGTGTACGCCAGAGGCTGTTACAGTAGAAGTTACCTCATAGTAACCAGTTCCCAGCAGTCAGAGGAGAATGATTATTCTACGTTTGGCGTTTTCTAGATGAAAATGGTTTAGAACCAAGATTCCGCTCTGTGTTCCTAAGAGAAGACCTGTTTGTCCAGCTCCTAGCACACCAACGCTCCTGTCTGCTGCCAGGCTCTGGACACCACCATCACTTTACAGTCTCTAGATAAAGTGCTTTTCTATGCATCTTTCCTAATAAGCTATTGCTCCTGAAAGGTTCCTTTCTCCTCACTCACCAGGTATATTTTGTAAAAAAATGCATAGAGTAAAGGGCAGAGGAGGAAGAAGAATGTTTCTGGCTCTCCAAACATGCCACATCTATTAGAGATCCTACTAAAAATCGATGGGATCTTCTGCCACTTCCCCCCAAAATCCACTTCCCTGATTCTCCATTCGAATAAAACTTCAGTCAGCCGAGCAAAATAAAAAATACCAGTCATGCATTATTATGAAGTGAACCATAAACATACCATACATGCTGGTATTACTTGTAGCTGCACAGATAAAGGCTAGACTGTTATTTTAATATTATTACTAAGCTTATTGAATTCTGTAAAACAGAAGAACTCAGAAAAGCCAAGTACACGAGAACCTCAGTTTAAACAACAGTCCTGGAAAGTCTGGAGCTTTGCCTCTCTCTTTTCGACTTTTTATACAGGCCTCCACCCAGCATTTCCCCAGTGCTGTAATTAAACAGAGCAGAGGAGAAAATGCAGCCCCATCTTCTCAGGGGGAGGGTCTTGTTATTGAAGAGGCGGCCACACTATCTTAAAAATCACCCCGATAATCCCTTGGTTTGTATACTGAGTGTCTCCTTGTTTTAACATTAAAAACCTGCTACAGAGAAACTCATTAAATTGAAAACCCTTCTGTTCATAAAAGCCCTAAATTGTATTTAAAATTGTGGTCAGGCACCTGGCAAGAGATCAGATGGTTTCGTAAATGGACTCGGGCCATGTGGCTGCAAGAAGTAACAACGCGAACGAGCTGTGCTGTCGTCATTACGGGTCACACCACCTTTTCATGTTCTTGGAAGATAAAGGAAGAGGAAACACAAGCTCATGTATTTCAAGAATGAGAAAACGTAGGCATCTCTCTCTCAAAGACCTGAAGGAATACAATTAGAAATAAAGCAATTCTTCCCATAACACATTTTGATTGGGATCCACCAGTTCTCGCACCTTTTCAATCTTCCCCGATATTTCACGGATTAAGCTTAGATTTCAGAGCACGCTTCCAATTATTAGGTGCGCGCCCCCGTCCCCGTCTTCGAGTTACAGTCCTGAGCCTTAAAAGCTTTTACTTGTCTGATAGGGGTGGCATGTTTGCTTTTTATTAAAAGAGCTCCACGTAATTCAATAGAATTCACTCTACACACAAAAAAAGACATTTTTAAAATGACCAGAAAATGACATGTATATAAAACAGCTCTTTAAGTTCAACATTTTTGTTTTGGGAACAACACAGGAAAACAAACACACACACACCTGGCAGAACTGATGATCTGAATTTGAGCTCCAAAGAAACAAATAATGGATTCATTAAGCCCTGAACAAATTGGCCCACACTAGTGACCAGTCCCAATCTTGAATTCCCCTACCAGCTTTCCATGGACTTCTAAGGGAAATAGCAAGTGTACAGAAGTTAGTAGTTTTATTTAGATATATCCTGCGTTTCGTGGCATCTCTATGCTCCTTTGGAGAAAAACAAAGTATTCAGGTGATAAAATTTCAACACCAAATTCCTTTGGTGTCTACATCCCATGGTATTTTTAAAATTCTCAGTCAGGATAGATAAGGGAAAAGCAGTGCAGAGAAATAAAATTCTTCAAACGCACATTAGCAATTTGCCAGTAAGTTCCTAATGCATTACATTAACACATTTGTGCTTTTGACAACAGATGTAAAAACTCTCCCCAGATTAAAAAGAGTTCAGTTGGAGATTAACTGAATATATGTATTTTAAATCAATTTCCCTTGCTGTCTTAAGCAAGAATCTGTTAAACCGTCCTGATAAGAAATAGCTTGATTTGTAAAACAGCATTATTAAATAGCACGTCTGCCAAACTGTCATTTTACTCAACAGCTGAGCTGACCTACCCAGTAACGTAAGATGCACCACACTGAGTGAAACAACTGGGTAAAAGTTAGCCCTTTAAATGTGTACATTTTGACTGAAGTTTTTATATTCAAGATTTAGCCTCTAATAAAAAGTAAATCCATTAAAAACCTCTGCATTTAACTTCCTTACACATTATTAACAAACAATTAAAATACAAGGTATGTATTCTGGAAATACATAATTCTCTATTAGCTGACCAGTTTGGGTAGCACAGTACATAGAGGTATACTGCCGTTGGAGTCGGATGTTAAATTAGCCCTCAGCTTGTTCGCTACCCCAACTACAGGAGGCAACTTGGAACCTATTCCTGTGAAAGAACTTGTATAGCTAGAAATCCGTTTATTGGAGGTTTTATCAGTGCTGGGTGGTTTGGGCGTTCGTTTACAAATCCAGGGGTGCCTTAAAGCTTGACTCGGAGTCATGCGTGCGGAAGGGTCCCAGCTGAGACATTCTTTTAAGAACTCTATGAACAAGGGATCGTCGCAGCCTTTCAGTGCTGTCACCCAGTCTTTGTTCCCTGGAGCACCTCGTATTTTACCCCGGCGCGATCGACTCCCGTTAAGGGTCACTCTTCCATCTGCATGCGTAGTTACAGTGCAGTAGCGAGGATGACCCTTAGAGTTGATGAAGTTCTTGGCTCGCTTGGATTGATCCAAAAGCTTCTGAGGTGGCACTCCAAGAAGTTCCATCATACAAGCCAACTGGTCTCCTTCATCCTCTCCAGGAAAAAGGGGATATCCAGTCAATAGCTCCACCAGAATACAGCCAAAACTCCACATGTCTATGGGCATCCCATAGCGACTTCCCAGTATCACCTCTGGCGCCCGATAAAATCGAGACTGAATATACGTGTAGACTCTTTGGTGCTCAAAACAGCTGGACCCAAAATCTATAACCTTGATTCCACTCCTCCCTTGCTGTTTTAGGAGGATATTTTCTGGCTTCAAGTCACAGTGTATGATTTTGTTTCTATAAAGGGCATCCAAACACTGCAGTATAGAGTGAGCAAACTTGCGTACCAGTTGGATACTGAAGCCCTGAAACTTATTTCTTTTAATCAGCTCATACAGGTTCATACTCAAGAGTTCAAAGGTCATACAGATGTGGTTCCGAAAGGTGAAGCTTTCCAGCATGTGAATAACATTCATACTGCCCGTTTTATCCTGCTTCTTCAGATGCTCCAGAATCCGGATTTCTTCTGCTGCTTGGCGATGGAACCTCTTTTCATTGCGAACCATCTTTAAGGCTAAGTGTTGGTGGAGTTTGTGATCGTAGACTTTAGCAACTTGTCCAAAACTGCCCTTGCCAATGATTTTGAGTACTTCATATCGGTAAGCAAGATGGTCATGGGGCACGTGGATGTAGCTGCCTTGGTCGTCATCATAACCTCCATTGTTGGGACCACCAATAACTCCTTGTCTCTTTTTTGCAGCTGGACCCACAAAGTAAATTTCAGAAAAATTAAATATCTCTTGCTGCTCATAAGCAGATAACTGATGTTTGTACTGTTTGACAGCTTGCTCTGGAGCTTGGGAAATGGCTTTGTGTGCTTTTGAGGAACTACCACCACCTTTAGAAGTGCTTATGCTCTCTATACTTTTATCTTTTGTCAGGGAAGGAAGAGAGCGTTCTGAGCCAGTAATTCCTGCAGACTGAAGAGCGCTACTCCTTCTATTGCCAGAGTCCTCAAATAATTGCTCCACTTTGACCTGACTTCCAGTCAGAGGGTGATCCTTCATTGCGAGTTTGTTGCTAGAAACCTATAGATGGAAAAACAAAAAAAAATAAGCCTTATTTTATCTTTTAAAAGCACAGACTAAGAATAAAATCAATACCACATAAAACAAAACCAGTAACATCACCAGGTTTTGCCTTTCTATTAGGAAGAGATATAAAATGCTGGACCTAAACTGACACAAGTTACAAGCATAGTTATAGAAGGGTACACAAAGAGAATGGAACTTACCAAAACAAGCACTTGCACAAATGTAGGGTATTTTTAAGTCCATAAAGGGTAAACCCTAGACAGCCAAACGCTCAAACAAGGACACAATACCTATCTCTACTAGCATGCACGTAGTCAGCAAACAGCCGGGGGAACAGCTATGTTTAGCTTTAAACGTGGGTGCAGCAAACACAAGCAACGACAGATGCAACTTGCACCTGTCTGAAACATGCAACATAAAATGTGCAGAGAAGTGTTAGGAGTATCGCAAAGGCGAGTGTGCCAAAGGCAGACAAAGAAATGACAGCAAGTGACAGAAGGCTGGCGTAACCAAGCTGAACAAGGAGCAAGAGGATGACAGAGCAAGACAAGATAAACCATACTTTAAAAAAAAATTGATTATTTTTCTTTGAAGGGGAAAATACCATCATATCCACAACTCCCTTTGAAATCATGATAGCTGCACAACTATCTTAAGACAGACTTGGAAGCTTTGAATAATCAAGAATATCTCTCACTGCGACTTTGTTGACAGTAGTCTGTAACCACTGCCTCTTATTGGCGTATGTTAAAATATTTACATCTGAAATGAACGCATAGAACGTGAGGAAAGCCCTGCCAAATTTTTCAAGCTTGTCAATTTTACAAATTATTAAATGCTCAACTCCCTGGAGTTCAGTTCCTCACTTGAACAGGAGTCACTCCCCTTTTCTACTCACTGCTGCTCCATGCTGATAGACAGCAGAGAGGTGTTGTCTTATCCTGTGCAACACTGAAGAAGCCATGACCAGAGTAGCAACATCTGTTTTCCATTTTGTCCTTTAATCTAAAAATAAAGATTTGAGACACATGCCAAACCGAATCCCTGAAAACCAAAATAACTACACAGGAATCAAACAAAAAATATAAATAAACCTGCAGATCCACAGCAATAAAACCAAATTCCTTTTTAGTTACATACAATCCAACATCTCGGCACAGGCAGTAAATAAGGGAAGTGAATGTTCTCGCCAAAAACAACTACACACGTCTCTTTTAAGAGTCTGTTTGTCGGTGCTGCCTTGAAATGTTAGCTCTTGCTCATAAGCCAAAAAAATGGGCATTTCCTGCAGAAGTCAGTCCTTATCAATGGTGACTAGGGGCCATCGGATATACCCTACTAAGTTCCACTACTCTGAGTCCTATCAGCCCAAAAATACAGTGTACTGTAAGAGACACGCCTTTCCAGAAAGGCTTAAACGAAAAAAACAAAGCCCAACCCTGGTAACTTGGAATAAATGCCTTTTTCTCTGAGTCTGGCTGAACCTCCGAGATAAGAATGACATATTTTCAGAACTGGCTAAAAGACTATTCGGCCCAGCAGACTCAAACAGTAAGTTTACAAATAAACAGAGAACATAAGCACAGAACAAGGTTCACTCCTGTTTGTTTTCTGAAGTTTTCCAGGGGGGCAGGAGAGAGGGGGGGGAAACAAAACAAAACAAGCCTGTCCTTCTACAGTAGACGCCTTATTTTCACCTTTGCAATCAAAAATCAATATTCCTCCTGCATGGGTTTCAATTGTACGCACAATAAAGTGTGACAAAACGACTGTGACTTCAGAATAGACACAACTGCACCTTTGCAGCCAACCCCCCTGATGCAGAGCGCTGCCGCGGCAGTTGGTACCAGCAGGCTCTGCGGAGCAGCCTTCTCCGGCTGGGTGAATGAATTAAGCCCCAAGACTTCAAAACGCGCTACTGTATCGCACATATTTCTTTCCACTCTTTGATTTTCAACAAATGGTGTTAACAGTCTGAATGTCATAAATTGTAGCAACGTGATAAAGTGTGAAAGCCTTGCAAACAGCGCTACATCTAAATATTCCCTATTCAGGAGCAACAGCAACTCTGCTAATGCTGCTTGTGGCAACCATTCTGTACTTTTGAATCCCTAAATAAACAAGGAATTCATGATTCCATTTATCCTGGAACTATTTCTTAACGAAGAAACTACAGCTTTAGATCTCAAGCCCAACTCCACAGCCACTCAGCAGTAAGGACTAAATTTTCATTCTCGGAGGACTACCAAAAATCAGTGGCCACGTGACGGTCAGGCACAAACATAGATCAATCTTAACTTGAACTCTGAAGAGCTGCGCTTGAAGTCAGATGACTTCTAGGTAACATCAGCTTGCTTTCAACAGCTTTCTTTTACAAATCACAGGCTACACAGGTTTTGTTTTACTGATAAAGTGCTATGAGCAGCCATGAAATGAGACGGACAACACAAGTGGCACCCTGTTGAATATTTTCACATACTTACAAAGCTTCATTTGAATTGAGAAGGAAACAGTTAACACAGTTCCTGCACTTTTGCAAAACCAATTGTGTATCAGTTATTTTCTGAATACTGAATCAAACAAACCAAATTAAAACTCTGAAAGCAGAGATATTTATGTTCTCGTATAGCTAAGATGAAAAGAATGCACAGCAGCTGCAGACATCAGAAGTTTTCAATTCTCGTGTAACATTGCATCGTAATACAAAAATCTTTCAAGAAGGAAAACAAATATCATTTAATTCCAGACACTTTCCCATTAAAAATGAGCATCACGATTTTCATCCTTGCATGCTTCATCTCAGTTCCTGCTCGCAAAATACCCCTAAGGTTGTATTTTTTGATGTGCTATTACGGCAAAACTAGGCATTTTATAAAATCTTGTCTTAAGTAGTTAACAGGCTTGATGGACAACATACAGATGAAAAATAAGGTACACCAGGGAAACAAAATATTCATAGAGTTATATTTGTATTTAACTGGATAGTTCCATCCTATGGATTTCTGTTCAGTTACAAACAACTGCAGTTACACTACGTCTTAAACATTGCAGTTTAAGAGCTCCCACCCCCTGCAAAAAAAACAACCCACTACTCCTCAAACACTACTGCTCAACAAATCTTGACATTTCTTCCGCTCTCCCTCAATATTGCCAAAAAGGGAGAACACAGACCCATGCTACTGAGCTTGCTCAGTGAACGGCAGACCACAAGAATTACTAATATCTGTTACAAAAAATTCCCACAAGATGATGATTTTCAAATGCATCTTATTCAATGAAATGTGTATTTTCACATTCTAGAGAGTGTTTTTTTTAAGCTCAAGCTCCTTCACTTCTGCCAGAATTCAACAAGAGCCAAAACGCATTTAAAAACCATATACAGGTCAGATCACTGTACAGCCAAACATGACCACTCCACTACTGCCCCTTGAATCAAGTTAAGGAAAGATCTCATAACTCCACATCTGCTGAGGAAACACTGCACTTACAAAGAAGCACGTTAACACCTTCAGTCCATAAAGAGCTATTTTGCTAGCAAATGTAGTGGCAGATAATGCCAAAGTTTTCAGAGGAGAAAGATACTTTTGTAAGATGTTTGGCAGCCGTGCAAACCCACACTGCTCTTCCTGCTGTTCCTAAGCACTTATCTCTTGGAATTTTCATGAGGGAAACTAAAACGGAAACGTGCAAGAGTTAAAGCAAAGCATGTGCGGATTTACATACTTATCAGCATACAAGGTGACAAGGCAGAACACTTCAAGCATTTGTAAAATAACTTTCTTGATTAAAACAGGAGCTGAGGAGAGTAAGATAGGATTTCTGAGGCTGCCTAGCAAGTTCTGCACAATACCACATCATTTTCATGCATAGTAAAAGCAATAACGTTCATAAGCTACTACAAAGCTGCAACATCCCACTTCTTTAATTCGTTCTCCATAGTGAGATATCTAACTCCTTGACAGTTTTCACTGCCACACAACACAACTCGGTGAAGACCCAGACAACTTTACAATACTCACGTTAGATCTTCCAAGCGAAGGAAGTCCCGAGGGGCTGTGTTCTTCATTTGTAGACTCTTGGTACCTAATCTGATCTATCCTCATATAGGAGTCATACAATCCATCTCCAAACCTGGCTGGAAACATCCCACATACAATCCAGTTAGTCACGACAATTCACGCTGATACAGACAGAGACAAACGCCGAAACGTATCTCACTCGGCACACTTTAGTCTGTAAGATCATCAGTTCTTGTTCATTTATTAAGTGATCTTCAGAGTTTAACTATATTTTAATACCACAACAGAGTGCAAAGCTCTTGGGAAATCTTAGTTTGTGACACTTTTCTTTTAATTCAGAGCTCTTTTTTTAATCGACTTTTGCACTGCAAATATATCCTTAAGAGACATTAACCAACACACTCCCCATTTTCCCTTAAGGAGGATAATCCCGAACTAGCCTCATTGAGAGCAACAACAGAAAACGAGCATACGCTTAAATACTTGATAGGACTATCCTTTAAAGTAGGTTATCCTTTAAAAATGATATGTGGGAACTACAGTTCGCAGATTGGCTGCAAGGGGGGGAAAAACGGCCGCGTCGGTCTGCACCGCGACTGTTGGGAAACGCTGTTAAAGGACTCAAAATCGCAGCGTTGAAGGCGCCCGGCTCCGCACCGGGGCTCGGCGGTTTTGCGAGGGGGAGAAACCGAGGGGGGAGCGGGGCGAGGCGAGGCGGGGTCCCCGGGCCTCCGCCGGGCCCTCCCCGCGGGACCCCC